AAAGAGAGGAGTGAACTGGGCGGGGGCGGGGGAGGGGGAAGGGCTGGGCGGGGAGAGAAGTGCAGCAATGAATGAATGGAAATCCAAAATCTCTGTAAATGCTCATTAAAATTATTTTTTAAAAATGTCATAAGACCCAGCTAGTCCACTGCTAGGAATATACCCTAAGCACAACAGAACTGTGACACAAATGGAGATTTGTACACCAATGTTCGTAGCAGCATTATACACAATAGCAAGAAAATGGAAACTTTCCAGGTTTCTATCAACAAATGAACAGACTGAGAAATTATGGTACATTCACACGGTGGAATAGTATGCAGCACTCAGGAGCAATGATTTTGTAAAATACTATATAACACTGGAGAGTCTAAAGAGCATTATGCTGAGTGAACTTACTCAATCTCATAAGAACAAATATTGCCTAAGATCATTATTGTAAAAATAAAAGGGTAGCTAGGAAGATGTGTGTAAAAATTCAAAGGGGAAGAAGAGCGAGTAGGAGGTGGAGCATGGGGAGGTGGGAGATCACTAGGATGACATAATTCGGTGGGTGGAGGAAGGGAGGAAGGGGTGAAGGAATTAGGAAAGATCCAGTGGTTTGGGGGGGGACTTGAAAGGATGGGGTAATGGTAGGCACAGTTCAATGGCAATTAATTTTATAAAACATAATGTATATGAATGATCATATGAAACACAATGTATATTAATTTTGTACGTTGTTGTTATGTGCCTTCAATTCACCTGCAACTCATAGCGACCCTATGTACATACAACAGCTTTAAACCCTGCTCTATTCTGTGCCAATCTTGTTGTCTCTGACACACCTATCTCCATTACCCCAGCTAATGAATCAATCCATCTCATCCAGAGTCTTCCTCTCCTGAACTGTCCCTCCACACTCCCAGGCATGATGTCCTTCTCCAAGGACTGGTCCCTCCTTGCAACATGTCCAAAGTATGTCAGACCAAGTTTCATAATCCTTGCCTCCAAGGAGCAGCTGATTTCACTCTCTCCAGGAGGATCCCATTTGTTCTCTTAGCAGTCCATGGTATGTTCAATACTTTTCTCCAACACCACAGCTCAATAGCATCAATTCTCCTTCTATCATCCCTAGTCATTGTTCAGCTCTCTGATGCTTAGCAAGTGATTGAAAAGACCATGGCCTGTATCAGGCACACCTTAGTCTCCAGACTGACATCGTTGCTCTTCATCTTACTTAGATTCAGTGAACATCCTTGGTACTAGCAATCAGGAGATCAGGAGATGCATTTCACTGGGAGAGTCTACATTCAGAGGACTGCTGTAAATTACTGAGAGCCATGAAGACTAAAGTACACCTGATTCAGAGAATAGTCTTTTCGATCATTTGCTATGCATCTAAGAGCTGGATGAAGAAGGATAACAGAAGGATAATTGATGCCTTTGAGCTGTGAGAGTACTGAATATCCCAAGCACTGATAAAAGAACAGGTATGTCTTAGCGAAGATGCAGCCAGAGTGTTCCTTGGAAGTAAAGATGGCAAAGCTTCATCTCACATTCTATGGGCATGTTCTTAAGAGAGGGTATTCCTTGTAAAAAGACATCATGTTTGCAAAGTGAAGGTTTGGCAAAAGAGAGGAAGGCCTTAGTGGTGATTACAGCAATGGTCTTAAGTTTCATCATCAGAAAAGATGAGAACAGCACAGGATAGGACAGGGTTCAAATCTGTTGTTCACAGGGTTACTATGAATTGTATTTGACTCGAGGGCACCTTTTACAACAAAATTAATTATAATTGATATAAATATTGACATATTAGGCATTGGAGAAATGAGATGGAATGGCATGGGGCATTTTGAGTC